TAAATAAGTATGCTCTTGCGAAAAGGCGGTTTTATAAGCCACCTCAATGTTAAACATGCCAAACCTGTACACATAAACACGGTAAAATTAAATACATACATTCTCTCGCTAATTATTGAAAATTTGCGCTAAACAAAGGTTTTACATTTGTATTACTGGTAATAGCTTATCTCAAACCTGTAAATGATATTCTGTTTGATTAAAAAAAATGCATTAAACATTGAATAAAAATATAGGCATTGCATTATCTGCCTTTCACAGCACATAAGATACGTCATTTTGACCAAAATGACGTCATGTCGACAAGTTCGCTGCGATCAGTGATTTGTTTATAAACTGTTATATGGAATTTAACTAGCAACTATTTTTAATGCATTAATAGGTTGTGATGTTGTTTATTATGCAAATACATTTTAAAATTTCAAAGTATTTGATTTTTAGGTATTATGAGAAAAACAAAATGTACCTATTTTTGTGTGATATCACAGAAACATTTCCCGTAGAGATTAGGCCTCGATCCTTTTTTTTCAAGCCTTAACAAGTCAGCGTTGCTCCCCTCTCTCAACGTCATTAACACACTCTCTGTCTTTCATTCTCCCCCCCCCTCCTTTCTCTCTCTAAAGAGAAATATATAAGCTCCTCATTGTACGACCTGATTCCTCTCACCATTGCTAATATTTCATCCACTCATACATAAACATCAATTTTCTGTTGTCGCCAAAAAAGGTGGTTGAGATGCAAATATAAATTTCTGTGAAAAAAAATTGCGAATTCGAGCGAAGGATGCAGAACAGATGTCTTCATCCAGAGGTAATGGCCCTTGTTTAAGTTCATGCCTTAAGAATATCTTTCTTGTTTCGACCCTTGTACGATTGCGGCTGTAGTAAGAAATATAAAGGTATCTTAGAAGACAACTTCTGGTCAGCTTTGCACACTGCTTTTCTCAAAAGGGTATATTATCCAGGCCCCGAGACCATGAACTGAGAATAGGCCTAAGTCAAAATTTCAAATCAGTGAAACTTTTAAAATAAAAAATTCAAAATGAAACAAAATTTTCAAGGTATATTTTTATTCAGATATGTAACAAACTGGAAAGTTTTAGGCATCTTTTTAAATAATTATTAAAATATTCAAAATCTAAATTTTGACTTAAGTCTGGTCTCAGTATATGATCTTGGATCCAGTACGACGTCGCCTCAATCCACAGATTGTTTTTGCACAATCAACAAATCTTTGTATTTGGTTTTCAATAAAACAAGGAAAATGACATTAATTCTTAAGAGTTTGTATTAAGAAAATGAAAATTGCAATTTCGCAAGAGTGCGAGAAATTCTTTACAATTTCATCCCAGATGATTCACATAATTTATTTGGATACAGACTCGCGTGACAAAAAAAATAGTTCATTTTTAGAAGCTTGTATCTGCCGAATCTGGAAACTTTTAATATCAAATATTTCACGATATTAAAACTTTGGGGACTGATTTCATTGCTTTTGCAAAAAAAAAATCGTTTATACAAATACTTTAATTTGTGCATTTCCCTGTGCTTTTCACCAAATAGCATTCATTTAAGGCTTTAAAACATATAGTCTTAACCAGCTGAAAACTACTGCAGTGATAAGGTTTCATAAGTTGAGGGTTGTTGAAGCTCTCCCAGCTCCTGATAATGGACTCCGACGGTCTTTTCATCCATATTTATAACTTCAGTTTGTGAAGAAATGGCACCTTTCTTATTGTGTTGTTTTTCTGTGGTCCTTGTCTTTTTACTATATTGATAATAAAAACAGTAGGATTATTCTTAACTGCTGACATTCATGATTCCACCAAAATATATATCATAACATCTGATGTTCATGCTTTAACTTCAATTTATGTATATCGCTATTTATACTGAACATATTTCTTTGAAAAAGTTCAAGTAATCATTTTTCATAAAGATAAAAACTAAGGTGAATCGTCCCTCAACTAGAATCAACGAATCTTAAATTAATTTGTAATTGAATGTCTCAAAATGAAGGTAAAGATTGGATTTCAAGCAAATTATTTTTTTTGATGCATCTAATCCTGAGAGCAGCAAGAATAGAATACGTTAACAATAACATTTGAACAATTGATATGTCCCAAATAACAGCTGCATTTTAATTATGAACGGAAAAGTATAATGCAGAATTTTGCATTTTTTTCTCAATATACTGCAATACCTTTATTTTTTATTTTCCCAAAATTGATACTTGAGTTTGCAATCGGAAAATGTATCTTTTTCGTGGAAAACACGACAAATGAAATAAAAATATCTTTGATTCCTTTTGAGGTTTCAATTGTTTAACAAGAGTCGCTCCCCAGCTTTTCAGTAGATTTTTGTCTTTACTTCTTTTTAAGACTTTCTGCGTATATACTGATTTTAGTTCTTTCAAAATTTGGACTCTATAGTTCTAATTAAGCTATATTCAATTAAAACCCTAGATGAAATTCCAATAAAATATATTTAGTGAGGAACTATATTTTGATTCATTTTAATAAAAAATATTAAAGAGAAACTTTGAAAATTGATTTATTTGTTAAACGTATAGAGCACAAAAGGTCATATTAATTGCTCTGTAGTGCGAAAAAAACTTTTGGGTTAAAAACTGTGTTTTAGGATTCTACAAAAATATACTTGACGTAAAATTCTCAATATTCTTGTACACAGAAACCAACCTCCTTCACTGCTGATTGAAGAATACCAAAAACCATGGCCAATTATGCTAATCTTTAGAAAATTATGATTGAATAAAAGTTCATTTCATATTAATGTTTACATAATTTTTTTACCCGAAAAAAAATATTATAAATAAATATCTTACCAGTGAAAAATCTGGACCATTGTCAATGCTAAAATAACGATTATAGATAAACATAATGCTGCAAGCATCCCATAAAATCTCGTTTGGTTATCTTCTTCTTTCACCGATGGAACTGTAACAATGACAAGATGTAGAATATGCTTCACCACATACCAAATGTTTTTGAAGACAAAAGCATTAAAGCAACAGCTAGACAGATAGAGAGACAGGTAGAAGAGTGTACAAGAGAATAAGGAAAATGCGAGTAAAACCGACATGTTCAAATTCTGTTTTCAATGGTCATGTTCTTTTTTAAGGGGGGAGGGGTGTTTATTTATAAAACGTATAATGAATTTCTTCATAAAAAAAGATGTTATATATACTTTTTAGAATGAAATGGATAATTAATGTCTTTCTCTTTACTTTTTTATCATTATGTTGACCTCTACCTTCTTTACAGTTTCCCCCTTTCCATCCTGATTGGCAGCCACTCTCACATTGCCCTCTGGTGACGTCACACCCTAATCAAATATACCTTTGTTAACAATTAGCCCCTTCACCGTAACTGCGGTCCTACACTTTTGCAGGGCAAAATAAAAACGTTTGGCGAATTTTTATAAAAAATGACGTATATTAAACAATTACTTTTAAATCATATTTCACCAAACTAAATCATTTTGCCCTGCAAAAGATCACTACTGCAGTTACCGTGAAACATTCTACAGTTTACTATAGTTAACTATAGTACACTCTGACACTATGAAATTTTGATTTACTTAAATGATAACTTTGACACTTTGATTTACTAGAGTGATACCTTTGACAGTTTGATTTATGTAAGTGATAACTATAAAAATATTGTTATTTATTTGAAGGCTTGGAATTTCGTATCTTTCTTTTCAATAGTTCATGGATTGAAATGCCATGTATAAGTTGGATCTTTGTAGTTTACTCTAGCAGCTTAGCGTGTTCTACGTATGAACAATTTATAAAAGGAGGTAAATTATTGACATACAAGTTGATAAAACAGGAATATCAGCAATCTCCCTTTTTGTCTTCATTTCGTAAGTTCTATGGTCGATACAATAACCTTGTCAGAGAATAAAATTTATCATTGCATCAAATTATGACTGATGTTTTTCATACTAATTCAGGTATTTCCCGTAATTGTTCATACGTAGGACATGCTCTTGCATATCGAATAATATGAGAAACATAAAACCCGTATACAGCTGATCAAGATGTATTGCATGTTTATCTTTTCCATAGACAACGTTAGAGGATTTTAAGGACAGATGATACAAACACTTTTTTTTCTTTGGAATAGATTTAACATCATGTCATAAATATAGAAAAGAGGATAATTTATTGTTTTTTTCTCCCAAGAGCTGGAACATAAAAAAGACTTGGAAAATATTACTAATATTTCAATAAAAAAAACAAATATAGACAAAGAACACTCAGTAAAGGTTTACAGGTGAAAACAATTTTCAAAATATATTACTTTGGTGCTACAAGTGTAATATAAACTTATGAAAAATCTACCAAGCCAGGTGAATTTTATGAGGAAATACAAAATGATAAAAAAAAATCATCAATAAACTATAGGCTGATTTTTACCATTTTGCTTTTCTTAATAAAATTCGACCGGCTTTGTATATTTTTCTAAAGTTTAAATTACACTTTTAGCACCAAGGTATCATATTCTGAAATTGTTTTCATCTGTAAACCATAACTGGGTGTGTTTTCTCCATATTTGTAATTATATTGAAGTATTACTAATATTTTTCAAGTGTATTTCATTTTCCAGTTCTGAGGAGAAAAAATTCTAAGAATTATCCACTTTTCTAAACTTGTGACATGGTATTTGGTCTCTTCCAAAGAAGAAATTTTTGTTTGTATCATCTGTCCTTAATTTAAGATTTTTCCACGTTTTCATACAGAATTTTCTGTCCATTAAGGGCACTGGTGATAGAAATGTTAGTTATCATAATGGCAAAGGCACATTTTGAAATACATGTAGAATACATGAAATCAGTGAGAAAATCATACTTTCTCTCATTTATTTGTATATGAACAATTGCATGTAGTTTTAAACCAAAATTTGGAATCTGAAGATTGTACATATGATATGTTTAACAATGATTATTTCAATAGAATAGATCAACAACACAGTATTGGCAGTCTTTGTCATGGCTTTACTTTAATAATACATGTTGAAATAAAATTTGACAAACACTATATCAAATCAGTATATCATTGCATTATGTTATATGTGTGATCTACATCGACTTTGGTTAGTTATGATGTAAAATCAACACTCAATAAAATTATCAATCAGTCAATATTTTGAAAAATCAATACTTCAATCAAACAACACAAGAAACAACATATCAATCAACATTTTCAATCAATGAGTTTTTCAAACAGTCAATATGACAATCAATCAGTTCATCAATGTTTTCAATCACTCAATGTATTCAATAAAATTGTCAATTAAAATAAGCCCAATTATTGGCCACAGACCTGGAAGAAAAACAGTATCAGTGGCAGGCTTAAGCAAAATTCGGCAATGCACCGGTCAAGGTGTGAACACTTCACGTATCTATTTGTTAAGCCATGACGCTTTGGTGTTGTTTCGACAAATATAATCAGGGTTAACACTCTCTTGACAATCACAATCTGAAAAATACATAAAAGAACAGCAGAAAAACAGAAAGAGAATATGAGTACACACTAAATTAAGGGTTGGGAGGGTGGGGTTGAATTTTGTTGAAAAGAATTTCCAGAAAGAATTTGCAATTTGCGCGCGCGTAGTATGTATGCTGGTATTGACAGGGGATGGTGTCAAAGTTTAATAATTGTAAAGGGTAGTGTCAAAAGTCAGTGATGTTTAAATGTTGCAAGAGTTATGCCTCTTTATCTATGTTACAAAAGTTGATCTACTCATTTCTATAATACAACTTAACTCATATTCTGTTAAGTTTGATTATTTCAATAGAATAGATCAACAACACAGTATTGGCAGTCTTTGTCATGGCTTTACTTTAATAATACATGTTGAAATAAAATTTGACAAACACTATATCAAATCAGTATATCATTGCATTATGTTATATGTGTGATCTACATCGACTTTGGTTAGTTATGATGTAAAATCAACACTCAATAAAATTATCAATCAGTCAATATTTTGAAAAATCAATACTTCAATCAAACAACACAAGAAACAACATATCAATCAACATTTTCAATCAATGAGTTTTTCAAACAGTCAATATGACAATCAATCAGTTCATCAATGTTTTCAATCACTCAATGTATTCAATAAAATTGTCAATTAAAATAAGCCCAATTATTGGCCACAGACCTGGAAGAAAACAGTATCAGTGGCAGGCTTAAGCAAAATTCGGCCATATGTCTTCATGTATGATAAATAGATTAATATAATACATGAAAACATCCGCCACAAGCGGAAAAAAATTTTGCCCCAGTGCCATGACAGGGAGACTGTTTTTACACAGAGGGAGGTGGAGGATAAATACTGGCGTTACTGCGTATGATATGGAGTAATCCTTGTTGAATGGTGTTCAAAAATATAACCTGAGCAGTATTGGACAAATGTGTTCCATCGCGATATAGCTTTGATGTACATTGCTGTTGATCTGGGTATTTTATGTATGCACCGTTGCATGCCACTAAGAATGGAGCTAGGGATTTGTTAATTCTTATTCGGGCTTTCTCAGCAGCAATGTTGGATAGCATGTGTCTATAGTAATTTCTTGGGAGCATCTGGGACCATATGAAACGTGTGTTTGGTAGGAGGACTTGCAATTTAACAAAAGTTGATTTCATAAATTTTTGAAGCCTACGCAATGGCATAGTGCCTATACTATTGCCTCCACAGTGTAACAATATAAAATCAGGATGTCCCTTCTGATCAACTAGATGATTAACTGTTGGCTCTACATCTTCCCATACCATACCACTCTTACCAGAACAAAATACTGTTATGTTATGCTGTTGAAGATCTAGGTGTGTGTTTCCAAATTGCTTGTCAGCATAGAGGGAGGCATGATGGACTATAGATGATCCAATAATCCAAACAGTAGTTTGACCTGCAAACTAGGTATTCAGTTAGAATACGGCATGTTACAAGTATGATGATAACCATTATAATCTAATGTAAGAATTGAATGCATTAGACCTCCACCTACCTTTGGACTTAATGTCCTCATCAGAAACACCTTGTGAATACAAATGAGTAGCCCCACCTATTCTGAACGAGTGTGATTTGAATATAGATGTGTCTAAACCAATGAATTTCACGGCTTTGTGTAGGAGTGATGTGAACTGATATTTGGTGAGAGGTTTAGCGTTGATATGGCAGAAAAATGGGCCTTGTACTTGGGGTCGGATTGACAAAAAATTGTGCGCATGTTCAAATAAAGATGCACTTTGAGGACTGTATGTAATTTGTAATGTGGTACCCCTACGATATTGATCAGTTTTTGAACCTTTGATAAACAAGGAAATTTTTTCTTCATCAATGGTGAAGTCTTGGAAAGATAGTACTGGTGTAAAGTTACTGGTGAAAGCAAATTCACTAATACGCAGCAGTGCAAAAAATGCCAAATAAAACGCAGTTGAAAACATTGTGGCTTCATAGGTGTTTAAACAAACTCTTGGTAGAATTGATACCATTTGATGCAACATTTGTAGGGAAATTGGGGATCGAAGGTCTTTTGCTGGATTTAGCCTTAGGAAGCCTTCCAACATTTTCTTAACTGTAAATGCTTTAGTGTTGTCCAAACCCCCCTCTAACTGGATTTTGTAACTGATACCACTTAAGTAACATCTTGCTGTGGCATGTGATATATGGTTTGTATGGAGGTATGCAATGTAATTAATAATCTGATGGACTGGTGGAGGCCAAGTCAAGACAAAATTATATTTAGAGCGGAAGGTTTCAAAAGAGTTAATGAACTTCTGATATGTTGAAGCAGTATTTTTAGATACTGCTGCTTCGAGTAAACTTTCTACATGTCGTTTAAGAGAGTTGTCAATACCGGAGGTATATTGACTGGAATCTTGTCTGCCTGAGGAGCCAAGGTTATGAATCTTTCCCACTGAAATCGAGAAATTGAATCCGCGATAGAGTTTTGATAACCTTGAACATGGATAGTTTTAATCTGAATGTTATGCCTAATGCAACGCAATATCAATGGCCTTAAAAGTGTCATTACCCTTTCAGACTTGCTTGTTTGGGAATTAAGAATATAAACCAAAGCAATGTTGTTGGTATTTATCAATAATTTCTTTGCTGCAAAATAATCCGCCCAAACCCAAATAGCCAACAGAATCGGTACTAGTTCTAAAAAGGTGAAATCTCTTCGAATATCTGGGCCCCATGATTCTGGCCAGGAAATAACTGCCCAGTGATTCTGAAAAATTGCACCTCCACCGTAGGAACTGCAACTATCGGTGAAAAGGTTAAGGGACTCGTTACTTGACCAGGATAGTTCAGGGAATGGAGAGCGCCCATTGTAGTCTTTAAGAAATGTTAGCCAAACTTTAGCGTCCTCCTTAACGGCTTGGGTAACCTTTATCAAAAAGTAATGTTTCTTAATGCCAATTGTTGTATTGTAAAACCTGCGATTAAATGCTCTGCTACCTGGGATGGCTTTTGCAAAAAAGTTTAGGGACCCACAGAGTGATTCCATTTCCTTGAGTGTTACTTTTTTGGATGAAAGCAATGAGGTAAGCTTATATTGTAGTTCTATAACTTTGTTGTCAGGAATAAAGATTACCTGTTCTACTGTGTCAATCCCTAACCCTAAGAAACTCAATCTTGTACAGGGACCCTCAATTTTTTTTTTATCATTTATTGGGACACCTAGTTCACCACAGATTAGCTTAAATGTTTCAGCGAGTTGAGAACATTGTGGAGTATTATGACTCCCCGCAAATAAGAAATCATCTAGGTAATGAATGATGTTTTGATTTTTGGCTTTTTGTGCTACCAACCAGTGCAGGTATGATGAGAATTTTTCAAATGTTTAACAAGCTATGGAACAACCAAATGGCATACACATATCATAATAATATTTGTCTTGAATACACATACCTAATAAGGAAAAATCTGTATGGTGGATTGGTAATAGTCTAAATGCACTGGACAAATCCATCTTACAGAGTATGCCCCTTTCACATTTTTTTGAATCATGGAAATTGCCTGGTCGAAAGAGCTGTAGGAGACTGAACATAGAATTGGGTTAATTTGTTCATTGATACTATTACCGATTGGTGCTGACAGGTTTGAAATCAAACTCCATCCCCCATCTTTTTTAGGCAACACTCCGACCCGGTTGCACCTAAGGTTGGAGAAGGGGGGGGGGGGGGGGGCTAGGAAAAGGGCCTGCCATGCGACCTAAGCTTATTTCTTTTTTAATAATTGACAATAATTCTTGCACATGTTCCTTAGCAGACTTCATGTTTTTTGGTTGTAAATAGTCTCTAGGGCCTGCATAATTCAGATAAAAACCAGATGTAAGTAACAATTGGGCATCTTGAACTTGAGGGTACAAAGCTAGGTATTTCTGTAATACTGGGAGCTTAATTGGAGTAGAACCTAGGCGTGTTAAATCTTTGTGTTGGTGACTGGTATTGCCTTGGGCGATAGGGACGAAAATTCGAGTAAGATTGTTGGGCATAATTTTGCTGTCCTGCGGTTGGGCGAGTTAGATTTTATCTAGTGTTAGTAGTGTTAGACTGTTGGTAGTTGGTATTAGGCCTTGAAGATTGAGTAAGTGTAGACTGGTAGGCCCAGCAGTGTATACGTGGATGGGTCTTGTTACAGTGCATGCATGCATGTTGATAAAAACACTGTGATTTGGAGCATGAGCCTTTGAGATTGTAATCAAAGCATTTAAGTGATGCTTTTGGTTGTGGAGCATTGAGGCTAGGTTGGGCCTGCATGTATATTAGCCACAACTCTGCGTCGACTGAGCCGAAAGAAAGTGATGTATTTTTGGACATTTTGAGACGGAACTGTCTGTCATATTCAAGCCAATTAGCATTTACGTTTCGGCTGTAGCATAGGCGCACTGTGTGTATATATTTCAATATACCCTGAATATCTGTAGGATGCCTAGCTAGGTATATACTGGCGAATATTTAAAAGGCATCAACCCAACTTTGCATTGTAATGATTTTGGTTGTTTTGGTTTTTGGTTCGATGACCAATTGCCCTTCAACAATTGAGAATTTATGCATATCTTGATTATCTATTTCTGAAATAATGACTTTTGCCAAATCAATATATTGCTTTAACCAAATTTTTTCTTTGATGGCCTGGGGGACATGAACCCCAAGCTCATCTGTAACACTAATTAAAAGGTTTTCACCTGATGTCAAGGATTGCTCCGTTGTAATATCCCCTATGGAAATTGGAGTAGGGGTTGCCACTGAGGATTCCGAGTTCATGCTAGCTGCATGTGGGACTTCAGGAGGATGTGGGACTTCGGGAGGATTAAGGGTTGCCAGCGATGAATTAGCAGTCTGGCTGGCTGGCTGTGAAACCTGGGTTGCCGTGATCACGGGGGCCGTGGCTGCAATGGACCTTTCGGCTGGGGTCCTGACAGGCCTAGCATAGGGTGACTTGGATTTTCTTTTGCTACACCGCAACATTCCCTAGGAATTCGTAAGACTAATATATTTACTGTTATAAAATGCGTGGTAGCCTAAAGGCTAGCTAAGCGGGCCTGCACGGGCCCGACGAATCTTAACGTTAGGTAATATAATAAAGTCCTGAAGTGCAGTCTTTAGTGTGTTTCAAAATCATTTTTAAGCCATTATAATTGTTAATTCTTATTCGTAAACAGAATCACCTTAGTTTTTTTTTTTAAAAATTCAAACAAACCATGCAACAATGATAGCGGCGAATGCCGAGAGGATGATGGTGGAGCTGAAATCGGTTACCAATTTTATAAGCCTAAATGACGTCAACCAAATCAAAATAAATGGAAGTAAGTACGTACCGTAGCTTCGATGACCTAAATACTTTACCAAAATTATAGGATGGCTAATAAAGTTTGAAGGAATCCTTCGATGGCGGTTAGTCTGTTGAATTTTGTTCAGAAGAATTTCCAGAAAGAATTTGCAATTGGCGCGCGCGTAGTATATATGCAGGTATTAACAGGGGATGGTGTCAAAGTTTAATGTTTGTGAAGGGTAGTGTCAAAAGTCAGTGATGTTTAAATGTTGCAAGAGTTATGCCTCTTTATCTATGTTACAAAAGTTGATCTACTCATTTCTATAATACAACTTAAACTCATATTGAGTTAAGTTTGATTAACATCAATGAGGATTATCCAAGCGGTATCAAACAAATAACAGGTTTATGATCATAAAACATTTATGGGTACTGATTTTTAATATTTTTGTATTTGGCTCCCTTTCTTTAAATAGAACGATTGTATGAGTACCCTGCGCATGCGCAGTTTTTTTCTAGCGTCAGTCGCCATTTTTATAAAGTCACGGAGAAATTAACCAAAGAAATAAGTAAGTTGTTTGGTGTTTTACATTCTGAAAACACTTGGATATACATGTAAAAGACTTCATATAGAGCAACGGAAGTAGTGTGTGCACGGACAATTGCATTGTACCACGCATAACTGTGATTTCATCATTGTTTACATTGACTTATAAATAGAGACCATATTCGTCAGCGATTCGTTTGTTTACAATTGACAGACACTCGGTAAGCTTATATCGGCTTATTCCAGGAGGATTTAAAGTGACATAACGAAATACTGAGATAAATACGTGATATTATCTGAAATTTGACTTCTTATTGTAAAGCGATTGTTTAATACGACTTAGCGAGACAAGGTTTGTTTATCAAGTCACGTGACGAATGCGGGTGGTTTCGCTCCGATTACGTGTTCGCGCCGAGTGGTTTCGCGCCGATCACTTGTTCGCGCCGAGTGGATTCGCCCCGATGGGTTTCTACTGTATAACTGAAGATACGCTTATCGAATAGCTCTTCATTTGATTAATATTTATATTAAAGCCATATATGGCGTATGTACAATGAAAATTATTAGGGAAAAATTATAACAACTTATTATTTGTATCAATACTTTATAAAAAGATAGAACTTTTCCGTAAATTACAAAATCTAAGTCAATTGCGTTATAAAGATATTACAATTTAATTTGGATTCTCGGAATTTTCTCCGATACGGAAGAAAATACAAAAAATTTAAATAACACATTACAGAGAAGATAAAATCGTATTTTTAGATGAAACAAGGTGTTTTCCGTGTTCAGAATTATGTGAAAAGTTTTAATTTAAATGTTTGAAATATTTTTCTTTACTTAATTTTGTATTTTTCAAAAATATATTTTTTTGATCAGTTACGCCATAAATGGCTTTAAGATATTATAAAGAAAAGGCAATTGCGGTGTAATGGGAAGTCTTATAAATCGTCATTCAGAAGAATCCTTGTTCTACTCCTTGTTTTACATAATTTAATTTTGTAAATCAAATGAAAAACAATTACAACCTTCATTAAAAATTAAACGAGATTTGTGAAATATTTATTTTAACATTTAGTCTTTATCATTCCAAATTCGACGATGAAATTTGTTCAAATATAGTCATCATTTGGTTAAAAATGGCTTCACTATAAGTATTAATACAATATGGGAATATCATCCGACAAACTACATTAACGCTTGGGGTTAATTAATTAATAGGTACTTAGTTATATAATTACAGGTAATCGGGGGGGGGGAGCCATACTGTAAACTACCCATATCTTACCTGTAGATAAACGGGGCGAAACCAGTCAGCGCGATACCACTCGGCGCGAACAGGTAATCGGCGCGAAACCACCCTACACCTCACGTGACCACAGAATGTCAACACTGTGCATTGGAAGTTCCCATGTGCGGAGATTTGCTGCATATTTGGGCAACCACGGCTCTTCAGCTGAATTATTTAACATTACCGGACTTGCTGATGTGAATTTTTACGGAATCAGTGGTGGGACTGTAACTAATCCACGTCACTTGGAGCTGTTTCTGGAAGCCGTCCAACGCCACCTGCCGACCTTCCTGATCGTTCATTTAGGAGGGAATGACTTGGACACTACAGAGGACAATTCTGAATTGGTTGTATTAAAACTAATAGCTTTCCTTAAAGCTATCCTAAACCGATTTCACATTCAGAAAGTTACTGTAATGAAACTCCTGCCAAGGGAAAGAACCAGGCACATCAGCCCTTCTGTGTATAATAGCCGTGTCTTAAATGCTAACAGAATTCTAAAGGAACAGTGTTCCACAAGCAAGTTAATCTACTGGCGCTTGCGTGGGTTTACAAACAGTGTTTCTGACATTTATTTGGATGGCGTGCACATGAATACTATGGGTATGCGGAAGTATTTCCGCCAAGTGAGAGGGATTCTGTTGTCCCAGCAGATTTATGTTTCTACGGTATAGCCATGATGTCAGGAGCTTCTGGCTTTACTAAACATAACATTTAAAATATAGCATTATATTACACTATTTTCATTATTTATTAGGCTTAACTTATTTAATTTTATAGTGGGCTTAAATTATATTTATATTTCATCTTTGTTATCCTGTTATTTCCTTTACATGCTTAATGCTCTTGTTACTTGTCATGTATACTAATCATATAATTTGTATTTACAGCTATCATCAACTGTGTAAACTTTTACACTGGGTTTGCTTGAACTTTGCAGTCCCTAAGGTATTATTTTATTTCATGCTTTAACCCTTGTATCCCTATAATGCGGCATATACTAGGGTTTTTCCATTTGTATTAATGTAATAATTAAATCGCAGAGACCAATAAGCAGGCACTGGCGGCATACTACCACAAGCGCTATGGCCTTGTTGGTTTAACTCACCATAGGGCAACTTATGATTCATATTAACTGTGCAAGTGCTCTGGCCTTGTAAACCTAATTCTTGATCAATTTTGCATATTACAACAAGTGTCCTGGCCTTGTTAGTCTTAAATATGTTAGCAGCTTTGGCTGTATATTATAACAAGTGCTCTGGCCTTGTTATCTTAAATATTATAACTGCACTGGCTGCATATCACAACAAGTGCTCTGGCCTTGTTAGTTTAATTACATTGAGCAGCACTGGCTGCATTTTTTCAAGTGCTCTGGCCTTGTTTTAAATTTTAATAAATACAAGTGCTCTGGCCTTGTTAATTTATTTTTCCTACTTAAAAAACATTAGTTTCATATTAGTGCCCTGGCCTAAATATGATACAAAGATAACAGCAATGGCTGCACATGACCACAAGTGATTTCTGTGGACATAAATTCATGAGTTAATTTTATTGTTCACAACTCATATGCAAGCTTAATGATGAATAACACCTTATTATAGGAGTGAATTAGACTTAAGATTCAATTATCTAAGTTCATTATTGAATAATTTCACTATACCTATGTGTTGTTCATCTTCATAGCTTCAATTCAGATATATTGTTTAAGTTCAAACTTAGCATGTTTTCAATGTTCATCTAAATTTTTAGGATGGCTTCGAGACCAAAGAGGAGAAGAGCTTCAAACCCTGCTCAACCTGCGTTATCATCTCCCACCCCCCTGACTATGCCCACACCAGCATCCTTACAGACCTCTTCTTCACACACACCTTCATCATCACAACTTGACCAACTGGTGGAAACTTGCATGGCAGCCATCTTGCCCAAGCTAAAACAAACCATCACATCTATCGTCAAAGACGCTACAAGTACAAACCCTGGGCCATCCCAGCCAATTGAGACGCAACCACCTCCGTCACCTGAACCACAGCCATCTCAGTCACCAGAACCACAATTACTTCAGCCACAATCAGCGACACTACAGCTCATTACTGGAGATACCCCAGCTGCAGGTACGTGTGTTCCACAAGGGATGGCAAAACCCGTGGGATTAGGAGTCGACCCTAAAATTAAATCCAAAATATTAGCTGGGGAATTCATAAAATTTTCGACCCTATTACCCAAACCCCAACATGCGAATGACCAAGATTCTAAATTTCATACCGTTGAAAAAGAAGGACAGTTGATGTTTGTCAAGGCCAATGACACAACCAAAATAAGGTCAATAAGTAAATGGCTTGAAGCCTTCCATGTTTTTGTGTCTATTTACTGCTCCAAACACACATCTGAAGTTGGAAACTTAATGACATATGCACAAATTGTGCAAGGCATAGCTAAATCATGTGGAGATGATGCTGCACTGGAGTATGATGAAAAATTTCTCCAGTGGCATGAAGCCTCCTCAAAGTCCTGTCCGTGGAATCAAAAAAACCCTGAACTATTTCAAGACGCTATGGTCCTAGGGCTTGAAAACAAATCAAAAATCAAAAAGCAGCCCTTTCGTGCAACCCAGACTCGATACCGGCACTGTTTCACCTATAATAACAAAGGATCCTGTCCCAAGGGGAACAATTGCCCATACTTGCACATTTGCCAAAACTGTACAGGAAAACATCCCAGAACCACCTGTATCAAAATTAAAACAGGACAGCACAACTCTAAACAATTTACCAATGACACTCTCCGCAAATCACAACCTCCACCCAAAAAAGACTGATGAAATTACCACCCCGATCATAGTACCCAAACTGGCCAAATACCTTCAGGGATATGACATTTCGCTTAGTCAATTTCTTATTCAAGGATTTACATTTGGCTTTTAAATTCCTTTTCAAGGCACTCGCCAATTCCGCCTTTCTAAAAATCTCTCATCCCTGAAAGATAAATAGGAAGTTCTTTACAAAAAAATTGAACTCGAAATTCAGGCAAATCGTGTTGCGGGACCTTTTGATATCCCTCCATTTAAAAATATGCAAATTTCACCCCTTGGACTCGTACCAAAAAAGCAACCAAATGAATTCCGCCTCATACACCACCTTTCCTATCCCCAAGGATTATCAATAAATGACAACATCCCTCATGAACTTTGCACTGTGCATTACCAATCCATTCAGGATGCAATTAAAGCTATCAAAGAAATTGGGGTTGGCGCTTTGCTGTCAAAAACGGATTTGGAAAATGCATATAAACAAGTTCCAATTCATAGGGATGATTTTGAACTTTCGGGGTTCTTTATAGATGGGAAATTTTTCTATGACAAGACCCTCCCATTCGGTTTAAGTTACACCTGCAACCTATTCGATAAATTCAGCACATCCCTCCAGTGGATTCTTCAAAACAAGTTCTCAGTTAAACATTGTGTGCATATTCTAGACGATTTTCTGTTCATTGGCAAACCAAATACTTCAGAATGTCATGAAGCATTAGCCTCTTTTCATATTCTAGCTCAAGACATCAATTTACCAATAAAATCAGAAAAAACTGTCTGACCTACTACAAAAATTACGTTCATGGGCTTAGAATTAGATTCCCTGAGTTTTGAAGTCCGTCTCCCTGAAGATAAATTGATTCATTTGAGACAAACATTAGCAAAATTTAAGAATAAGCGCACAGCTACCCTTCGTGAATTATAATCTCTCATTGGACTTTTAAATTTTGCCTGTAGCATTGTACCTCCGGGTCGCCCCTTTTAAGAAGAATACTTGATTTAACAAGGGGTATTCAAAAACCTCACCACCAGCGTAACCTCGATAAAAATGCTCGGGCTGAGTTAGAAGCATGGTCAATCTTTGTGGAGCATTTTAATGGCCGGGCCTTTTTTCCCTCGGGAATTACCTGTACCTCAGAAACGTTACACTTTTTTACGGATGCCAGTAACTTAGGATATGGCTGTGTTTTTGGTGCTAAATGGTTTTTTGGCCCATTTGACACTTCATGGCAGGAACTTCACATATCAGTCCGGGAATTTTTCCCTATTATTCTTGCCATTGAAACCTGGGGATCATCTTTGTCCAATACGACAATTGTACTCCATTCAGACAATATCGCTGTTGTCCATGTTATTAACAAGCTAACCTCCAAAGACTCGAATCTCATGAAACTCATGAGACGCCTTATGGTTACAGCTCTAACCTATAACATACATTTTCATGCAGAACACATCCCTGGACTGTTTAATACTGCTGCTGATCTTTTATCTCGATTACAGATTCAACGATTCAAAGCCAGTTTCCCAGAGATGGACGAGAAAAGTACTTCAGTTCCAGAATCATCTCTTCATCTCTGAAAAGTACAGCAGATTTCCTTATCAGCAATTCCTTGTTCCAAGATTCGCTAAATTCATACAGGAACATAATTTCCCAACACAGAGATTTCATTAAAATGCATATTCATCCAAACCAGGATCCACTTCCACCATCACTGGACCATTTACTATTATATATCGCATATTGCTACCGCCAAAACCTTGCAGCCAGTACCACCAAAACCCACATTTCTGCGTTTAGTTTTACGTTTAAAATTGGTAACTATCAGGATTTAACTCAACATTTTCTTGTCAAGAAACAACTACTAGGCTTCAGTAAACTCAACCCTTCTTCCGACACAAGGCTGCCAATCACACGTCCAATTTTAACAAAATTAATTCATGTTCTACCTCTTATAACCAACTCTGCCTTTATCAGAATAATGCTGCATGCAATGTTTCTTTTGGCATTTTACGCATTCCTTCGAATCGGTGAATTGACAAAGACTGGCAGTGTGAAACAACACTATATTCTTGCACGACATGTGAAATTTATTACAAATAATCAGTCTGAAAATTGCATTGAACTGACAATACCACACTGCAAACATTCCAATAAATCAACTATTTTACAAATTCCACAAAACATCAATAAACAGTTATGCCCTTATCAAGCCTGCAAAAATTTCTTATCTGTGCGTTCTCACCATTCCCAAGACGAACCTTTATTTTCATTCATGGATGCCACATCAGTGTCTCGGAAATTTTTTACAGACCACATGCAATTAGCTTTGTCCGCTTTTGGAATCCCAAAAAACCTATACCAGGCTCACAGCTTCCGCATTGGGGCAGCTACTACAGCAGCAGAGTCGGGTTGGTCGGATATTCAAATCCAATATATGGGACGCTGGAAATCTACAGCATTCAGGAAATACATTCGAATTCCGGTTCTTAAACTATAACGCGATACACATGTACTTTCAAGTTTGTGTTGACTTCCTTCTTTGTGGTTCCATGAAGTCAGGAGCTTCTGGTCCATATGCTATCTGTATATATTGCACACAATCAATATTTGGATCATGAAGTCAGGAGCTTCCGATCCACTTCCTATCTGTATATTGCACACAAATCAATATTTGTATCATGAAGTCAGGAGCTTCTGATCCACTTCCTATATGTATGTATATTGCACACAAATCAATATTTGGATCATGAAGTCAGGAGCTTCTGTTCCTTCTAAATCAGCTATATTATACTACAGCTTTATCAATAACATTGTACAATTTGTACCTCTATCTTTATTGTCAAGTCAGTTATCATATTTGGTCTCATTTTTACTTATCGATGGGGCAGATCAAAACAGCAAGCAGTTATGATCGGTGGCGGATGTGCCCCATCTTTTCAATCATATTCAGTATATTATGTAAGATTTGTATGTACATCACATTTTTTATAAGTATTGCATAATCATTTGTGATATATGTTTAGTATGTTTTGCTTTGTATTATTTGATGTCTACTTAAACATATGACTTGTTTGGTTATTTGTCATATTATGTTTTGCTTTGTCTTATTTGTATGTACATATACATATGTCTTGTTTGATTATTCTGTCATTTATTTTAGTAAATAAATGACCTCTTCTATTCCTCTACTGAATGTTATGTCTTGTCTATAATATGGAGGTGAAGTTATTCGGGTACCCATAAAACAGGTTTATGATCATAAAACATTTATGGGTACTGATTTTTAATATTTTGTATTTGGCTCCCTTTCTTTAAATAGAATGATTGTATGTGTACCCTGCGCATGCGCAGTTTTTCTAGCGTCAGTCGCCATTTTTATAAAGTCACGGAGAAATTAACCAAAGAAATAAGTAACCACCGCCCTCCCCACCTCCATTTGTATGTACATCACATTTTTTATAAGTATTGCATAATCATTTGTGATCTATGTTTAGTATGTTTTGCTTTGTATTATTTGATGTTTACTTGAATGTATGACTTGTTTGGTTATTTGTCATATTATGTTTTGCTTTGTCTTATTTGTATGTACATATACATATGTTTTGTTTGATTATTCTGTCATTTATTTTAGTAAATAAATGACCTCTTCTATTCCTCTACTGAATGTTATGTCTTGTCTATAATATGGAGGTGAAGTTATTCGGGTACCCATAAAATAATTATTGATACTGTTTGTTGTTTTTTAATGGTTCTTTG